TTTGGACGAATGGACGATGGAAGAAAGGGTATATACAGAGACGGAGCTAGAAATTATTTGAGTGGAGTGAAGTTTAAATGGCAATATAAATGTCAATTATAAAATATCAAACAGGCATAATATAAAGTTGAAATACAAAATACATTATAAATTACAATAAAATGTTTTTGATAGATTACAGGATAATTAGAGTCAGAGTCAAAAATATAGTTGAGTGAGGTGAAAATGTAAAAATATTTATGACAAAATATTAAACATTCGAATACAATGAAGTAGAATAATAATGAAGTAGATCAACTAGTAAATTAACTCGAATAAGTTGATTCAATAAAAAGTAGACTAAAAGAACATTTAATTAGATAAGAAAAAATGTTGTTAATGAGATTTGAACCAAATACCATACATTTATATTTTAATATCAAACTCAAAATTCAACCAACTAAGCTACTCAAACTATTAATGTTTTATACATAAATATAGATTATATTGTATATAATTTTTAATGCTATATATATAAAGGGGTGGGAGTGGGGGCAGCTGCCCCATACTAGCTCCGTCCATGGGTATATATGTTGATTGTTAAAAGATGTTATAAAACAATTATAGGCCTGGGGTTACGTTGCACGAGTAGAAGACAGGAAAAGAGTAAACTGTAACAGGTTTTAATTTGTGCCCGCCCTCAGTGATACACTAGCTAATCTGCTCTCATACATGGATTACAGGATGCTCAGGACTTTAGTTTTGATTTAATTTTATCTCAGGTAAAATATATGTTATTAGATTTATCTAATGTGTTTATCTCGTTTGCTAAATAATCAATTAATTGAATTATTCATTTGTTAGCTCGGAAATCTTGTTTTTTTTTTTTTTTTGTCTTGTGGTTGAGAGTGGTTTGATTTTCCACTTCCTTTTATTACTTATGTATTTCTTTCGAAAGTTTTTCTTTTCTTTTTTGAATACGTTTTCGAAAGTTTAATTGAATGCAGTTGTGTTTTTGCCAACAAAATAATAATAATTGTTGTGGTATTCGTATAACACCATAGTACATGTTCCATGAAAATCACGACAAAGCAGGTGATTTTCTGCTCAAATTGTATCTTAAGTACATGCATCTCTCACTATATTTATATCTAATGACGTACCATGCTTGTCGGAAGGATATACATATTGGAACTTGGAAGTAACAATGTCTCATTTGAGCATCCCTAAAAATCCCTAACAAGAGTTTTTGGTGGAATTTTATCTTTTTTTTTTTTTTACAAAAAATTAGGAAGAGATTTTTAATAAACGGGAATGAAGATCTTTTGAGGATTTTATTTCTATAAGTTAAAATTTTTTGTAAGTTCCATTAACCCCTTGAGAGAATGTTATAGGATCGAACATTAGTGGTGGGGTATTGATTTTTTGGGCTGCAGTAGTTTAAGAAAGTATAAAACATATACTACCTTGTAATTGAGCAAATAGTATTAAAAAAATCCTATTAATTAAAAATGAGTTAATACCCAAAATCGTCATCGACTATAGTGATTTTTCTCAATTTCGTCCTAAACGACTTTGGTGACCTAATATCGTCCCAAACTTTTGTGTTTCGCTCAATTTAGTCCCAGACTTTTGTGTTTTTGCTCAATTTAGTCCCTCATTTGTTATTCTTCCATTTGGTGTTAAATAAATAGACAATTTAGTAATTTTAATATTGGCATCTCTTTACTCATAGACATGTGAACTGCGAAATCCTTTTTTTTTTTTACGAATTACCCCCAGAATTACTCCTAAAACTGCGAATATAAAATTTGATTTGCAGGTTCGGGAGTAATTCTGGGTGTAATTCGTACAAGAAAGAGGAATTTCGCACTTCACAAGTTGAAAGTAAAGAGAGATCAATATTGACATTATTGAATTGTCCCTTTATTTAACACCAATTTGACGGAATAACAAATGGAGGACTAAATTGAGCGAAACACAAAAGTCTGGGACGATATTAAGCCACCAAAGTCGTTTAGGACAAAATTGAGAAAAACCACTATAGTCGAGCACGATTTTGGGTATTAACTCAATTAAAAATAAATTGGGAAAATATATGACAAGTGCGCGTCTGGCGCACCTGCAGCACTCAAGTAGCGCGTGTACAATTTTTTTTTTTTCCTTTTCTCTTAATATATATATATTTTTTCTTTTTTTCTTTCTTTATCTCTTTCTTACATGTCTCGACATAAACTAATCCAAAAAATTAAACAATTGAGGTTACTCTAATATATTTTTATACGGACAATATTTTATTGTACAATAGACATTTTCAATTTGTTTCTTTATAATTGTCTAGCAATGATTCTTTTAAGAATTAATTTTTTTTTAAATACAACAGAACGACAACTAAACTAAAAATAATTGCACAATTTTGGGTCAATTGGGCTTATAATGACTTCAAAAGTTAATGAGTGCATTAAACGGCAATTTATATCGTGTACTGCAGTGCATAGTCGATTATGTACCGAACTTCTAAATAATGTCGTTTTGTATAATAAAAAGAAATGACATTTGTTTTGCGCCATTCTGTAAAAAGTAACTCTGTTATTCAGTTTCATTTTGTATACACTGCAGTTTCAGTTCAACACAACTACAATTTCATTTCAATATAACTACAGTTTCATTCGATATTTATACACTCAAATATGTTAAAATGTTATTTAATTTTATTTTATATACACTATAGTTTCATTAAAACACAACTACATGATCATTTTGATATAACTACAGCTTCATTGCACAATATACACTCAAATATGTTAAATGTTATTCAATTTCATTTTATATAAACTGCAGTTTCATTTCACCACAACTATAATATCATTTTGATATAACTACAGTTTCATTTGATAATACATAAAATAATACGCGAGGCAGTGTCGGTTTAGATACACTGTAGTGACAGTTTAGATACACGTACTGTAGTTTCAGTTGGTAATTAACACATCAAAAAAATGCGCGCTCTGTTAACAGTAATGGCGCACCGTTTCTTTACTTAAAGAAACGACGCTGTTTTGACCATGCACCGCGGTCCATGATATAACGACTGACGTTAAACCTAACAATTGTTATATTGTGCACCTTAAAAATCACATGTTTCGTATGTACATAATTGTATAGTAGAATACACATAAACTTCTAACATAATATACATAATCTTAACATAATACATAATACATATAAACTCTTAACATAATACACATAAACTCTTAACGCAATACATATAAACTCTTAACGTAATACACATAAACTCTCAACATAATACACATAGACTCTTAGGGCGCACAATGCATTGTGCACGATATAATTTGCCTAAACCTAACAACTTGATGAATATTTAGTGAATTGTTAATATAACTACAATATAGCTCATTATGTTGATTACCGAATGTCATATAAAAAATTAAAGAGTTAAGACTTTTTGGAGGGTTTTAAAATTACAGCCAATCATCTTAGATTTACAAGATAATTTGCAGCCATTTCAATGTCAAAATTGGTTTAAACTTTAAATCAAACAAATAATTAACTTATGTCAAAGTTGGTTTAAACATTAAATCAAGACAAATAAATAACTTTTATAAAAAATCATACGATCATGTTACATGTAATACTTGTTCATATATACTGAAATCTACGAGTCAATATTGCCTCGAATCCATGACTTCCACTTGAAAAATCACTTCATGCCGCTTAACTATAAGGTCTTTGACCATAATCTTATTGGACACAAAATCAACTTTCAGCTATAACCTTATTGAATACAAAATCAACTTTTTGATTAACTTAGCTAAGAATTGCTTTTACTTAGAGTCAGTATTTTTATTATAAAGAAAGATGATACCTACATATACAATTTACGCCTCTCACATAAAGAAGCAATCGAATACCAGTGGACCACAAGATCCTTGGTAGGGTCATTATTTTGTAAGATTATCTCACATATCTTTACAATTATATATATATATATATATATATATATATATATATATATATATTACAATGATTATAGGGAAAATGACACTTTTTCCCCCTAAGTTATATACTTATAGCACTTTTTCCCCCTCAATTATTTATGTAAGCACATTAGTCCCCTTAATTATTTTAAAAGTGGTGGTTTTTCCCCCTAATATATTAAATTGACATTTCTACCCTTAAAGTAAACATTTTATTTATTTTACTTCTCCAACAAATTATTACGTATATGTAGCGATTACTACGGTTCGGTTCAAACTGAACCAGACACTATAGCAATCGAATTAAAAGTTTTCAGTTATGATTCAGATCTAGAACCCAATATTTAGATTTCAATTTATTAAATTTAAGAATAAAAAAAAAAAACTGGATTATGAACTGTGAACCGGCGATTCCGGATCCAGTTCGCGATTTTGAACCGTCTTTATTTTAAAATTTTATTTTTTATTTTAAAATAGTCTAAATTCAACAATAAATGTATTTTATTTTTTTAGTTCGGAACATGAACCGGCCATTCTGATCCGCGATTTTAATAAACTCTAAATATCGCGTTTTGATTATAAATTGTAATTGAAATATTTTGGTTTGGTTGCTATAGTATCTGTTTGGTTTGAACGAAATTATAGTAATAATTTATTGGAGAATAAAAATAAATAAAATATTTACTTTAAATATTTATTTTAAGGGTAAATATGTCCATTCAACATTTCAGGGGAAAAAAGAGCCACTTAAATAATTTAGGGGGAAAAAGTGCTATAAGTATATAACTTAGGGGGAAAAACTACCATTTTCCCATGATTATATTAAATTTTCCTTTTAAACAAAAAAGGGGAAAAAACAATTATTTATTTAGATTTAACTAACGTGCAGGTCACACATGCCATGACGTTGCGTGCATGGGTGGTGTACACGTCGTTTTAAAGCGCTGACGTGTCCCAACAGCTGAGCGGTTCCAGATCAAGACAGTGACGTCATTTCCCGAGCTGAGTCGGTAGCCGATCAACTTCTAAACAAAAAAAAAAAAAGAAAAAGAAAAAACGATCAACAGATTCACTCTTTCTTCTTCGCGAAGAAATTTCACGTACTGCCAGGGGGGAGAGACAGGGATTGTGTGCATACATTCACAGGTTTTGATGTGAATTTGGATTCGATAGAGAGAGAAAAAGTTTGAGCTCGAAAAGCACGCCCAGGAAAGGCAGGAATTGTATGGCGCTGTTTCGGAAATTGTTCTATAGGAAGCCGCCGGAAGGACTCCTCGAGATCTGCGAACGAGTTTACGGTTCTCTCCCTCTCTCTACACCACTATACATACAATGTGTATATCTACATTGCATTTATGTATCTGCGTTTTCATTTCGAAATGTTTGTATGTAAATAGAGCTGCCTGCATTCACGTTTAACGGAAATCGAGTTGAAGCTAAAAATTATTAAATTCGAGCATGCTGTTGAAACCACTAGTCAATTTGCCAAATCGTTAATTCCAATAGAAATTCAAACGGACAACTTAGAGTAGTGATCAGCGACTCGGAAGTGGTTACAGATTAAGCTGCGGAGAAGTTTAGAAGAAGAGAGACGAAAACAGCAGTTTGCTAGTATTTAATTCGAAACTGTGCTTGTTCGGAAATGTTGTGTATAGAATGTAGAAACTATTAAAAGAAGTGAAGAAAGGGAAAGTTGAGTTTTGGTTGATACATTGAAATTTGTTTCATGATCAGAAATAAGTTGCAAGGGAACTAAAGATATGGACACCACTGCTCATTAAAGTTTGTGAAGACATTGTTGCATTGAGTTGACTAAAAGAGTGCTACCTCGGTATAAGTTTACTGAGGGAAACATTGCAGTTTGTTGAGGAAAAGAGTGTTTGTATGATACTTTTGGGAAGGAGAGCATGCAACATCTGCAGGGAGTGTAATTCAGAAAAAAGATGGGTGGTGCATGGGGAGTTGGTATATAGGCTTGTAAAGTTTATCTAGGAGCAGGGGGGAATGGTGACACATACTAACCAAATTTATCATGGTATTCCTGGAAAAAGACGAGCCTGAAATATTAAGAAAATTTACAGTTTGAAAGAAAGATAACACATTGACATGTTATGAACCCAGTTTTATTCTTAAACAGGTTTGAAAATAACTTTTAATTCAGAACTGGCAAAGTAGGCATGCCTCATATTCAAACACTACATTACAGTTTAGAAATGGTTCAAATTTTAAACCTACACAATAGTTGAGTCTAACTTCTCTTAAAGTCTTTTATTTATTGTTTATGTGCAGTGTTTGATAGCTGTTTCAGTTCTGATGTTTGGGAAGAAGAAAATTACAAACCCTATGTGCGAAATGTAATTGCTCAGCTTCGGGATAATTTCTCAGATGTATCAATCTTGATTTTCAATTTCCATTCCGGGGAGATGACAAGAAGCTCGATTGCAAATATTTTGTCTGAATATGATATAACTATAATGGACTACCCTCGACACTATGAGGGTTGTCCATTGCTCTCAATGGAGGTCATCCACCATTTTCTAAGATCCAGTGAAAGCTGGCTATCTCTAGGCCTGCAAAATGTGCTTCTAATGCACTGCGAACGGGGTGGTTGGCCAATTTTGACATTTATGTTGGCTGCATTACTGATATATAGAAGACATTACACTGGTGAACAGAAGACTTTAGATATGATATATAGACAGGCTCCACGTGAGCTTTTGCACTTGTTGACACCTCTTAATCCCATTCCTTCTCAGCTGAGATACTTGCAGTATGTATCGAGGAGGAATGTAGGTACATCCTGGCCTCCTCTTGATAGACCTGTCACCTTGGATTGTGTCATCCTTAGGATGATACCTAATTTTGATGAAGGTGGAGGATGCCGACCAACATTTCGTATCTATGGACAAGATCCATTCCTTGTAGGGGACCGAAATCCAAAACTTCTATTCTCAAAACCAAAGAAGATTAAACCCTTTCGTCATTACAAGCAGGTATTATCTAAATTTTTTGCTTTGTTGTACTGGAATAGAAGTGTCTTCCTTCTTCTCCCAAATACTATCTACTGAACCAGTGAGCTAAAAGCTCGTGCGGGCATAGAAGTGTCTTCCTTGTTCACAGGGTCAAATGTTTTTAATTCTTGATTTGGTTACTGTTCCATGTTACACTGTACAATTTTCTTGATTAGGTTTTGATCATTTTTTGCCAACACTGCAGTGCTTGAAATCATCATCATCATCTTCTTCTTATATACATACATATATGCATGTATGTATTATGAACTTTTCTACAGGTTTTTGGTGCTTGAGTTAAATCATTTCTCTCCATATGCAGAAACCTATAGGATATATGTAAAACTATGTAGTTATTTCTATACTTTGGCCCTTAATCTTAGCTGATTGACTTAAAGGATCATCTTCAAAACAAATTGGCATTAGAGTTCTCCACAACATCCTCTCCCACCAACCAAAGAAAAAATTTCTGTCTTCATTTATAAGGAGTAATTTTTAAAATACAGTAACACTGGACATTGGCATATGAACTTCTTTTGATGTTACTGCAGGCAGAATGCGAATTGGTAAAGATTGATATCAACTGTCATATTCAAGGTGATGTTGTGTTGGAGTGTATCAGCTTGAATGATGACATGGAACAAGAACAAATGATGTTTCGAGTTATGTTCAATACAGCTTTTATTAGGTCTAACATTGTGATGCTTAACCGTGATGAAATCGATACAATGTGGGATTCTAAGGATCAATTTCCAAAGGATTTCAGGGCAGAGGTATCTTTCACATTTTATTGTTTGTGATTGTTTTCTGCAGCAAGATGCATTATCTTGACTTGTAAATTATCCTCTGGATGAAGATTCTTTTCTCAGAGATGGATGCTGCTGCTGCTTCAGTACTCCCTGGGAATTTATCCTGTTTTGAAGAGAAGGATGGCCTCCCAGTCGAGGCATTTGCTAAGGTTCAGGAGATCTTTAATAGTGTTGATTGGTTGAGTCCAAAGGGTGATGCTGCTCTCAATGTGCTCCAACAAATAACTGCAGCAACCATGATGCAAGAAAAGTTGGAATCAAGTTCACCCCAGGGTAAGGAAACTAGTCCTTCCTCACAGTCATCAACTCCCATTAAAGCTCAAGATTGGGAAGGGCCCACAACATTAGATGATGCAGAGAATCAATCTCAGTTCTCTCCCAAATCATCCCTCAGAGCAGATACAAGTGAACAGAAGGGGAAAGAGGTGTCTTCTGCACCTGAAACAGAGACTCTCTCACTCGATACTGTTATTCTCAAGCCTCCTCCTTTGCCTACTAAGGATCAAGTTGATAGTATCTTGGAACCTCCATATCCTATTCCAGTACCTCATGAACCTGTTACTCCACTGTCAGATAAGGTAGTCACTGTTTCTATACCTTCTCCACCTCCCCCTCCCACCCAAGCTTTAAGTCCTGCAGTCATATTGTTGACGGATGAGACAACTACTACCAGTGATCCTCGCCCACTTCACCATACAATGCAGGAGGTACATCCAATGACTTGGGAAAGAGATGCCGCTGCCAAGGAAGGCTCTACTCCAACCTCATCTTCTTCTCCTCATACTCCTTCCACCCAATATTCAGATGACAGGTCAGTCCTTAGAAGTGTACCACCGCCGCCACCGCCACCACCACTAACACCAAACGAAAAGGATAATTTTGCCTCCATGAGTGGTGAATGTCGACTTCCATGTTCTCCACTCTCACCTTCGAAGGAAGATTTAACTCCCATTGGTGTTCCACCACCACCAACACCTCCCAATTCAACCCCATTATTGAAGGAGAGTACTGCTCCCGTATGTAGAGAGTTTGAACCTCCACCTTCTCCACCCTCACCTCTCAAGGGAAGTATATCCTCTATTCATGGATCACCAGCTCCAGCTCCACCGCCCCCATCTACAGAGACTGCTAGCTCTAAAAAGTCAGCAGCAGTACCACCACCACCACCTCCTCCTACACTTTCTTCTTCAATGAACCCTCATATTGCCCTTCCACAGAATGTTCCTTCTGCTCCACCTCCTCCAACCCCATTTATTAATGGGGAGACAAAGGCAGGTACTAGTGTAACACATTCTGAACCAATGCCACCAGGACCACCGCCACCTTCTATTCCTCCACCTGGTATGAAAGGGATACAACTTTTTTCCCGTGCCATTAGTTCTATAAACAGTCAGACAAAGAAACTGAAACCATTGCACTGGTTGAAGATAAGCAGAGCAGTCCAGGGAAGCTTGTGGGCCGAGACACAAAAATCTGAATCTGCCAAGTAAGCAATGTACATATTATGAAATATGAACTGTTATTCACCTTTATATGTTATATATCATGCACTAATATATTTCTTGTGTTAATCAGGGCTCCCGAAATTGATATATCAGAACTTGAATCACTCTTCTCAGTTCCAAATTCAGACAAAGCTAAAAGGAAAGGAAATTCGAAGACCTCATTGGGGGCAAAACCTGATAAAGTGCAACTGGTGATTTATGTTCCTTTTGGATGCTATATTTACAAATGCACTATTTCCTTACTATCAGATTCTTGGACTTTTAAGAGAAGTCACATGAACTATTCTAGTAAATGACATTCTTTCAAAATTATCTCCATCAAATGGACGAGAAATTGCAAAACTATTCAGTTAAACAAAATTGTGGTGCAAACTATTTGGCTATCTAGTATGCATCTTTAAATCCCCTCATCTCTTCTTTTTGTTTTTGCCAGATTTTTGTAATGTTCAGTTTTTGTTAGTATCAAAATTTGAGGTTGTGAATTTTCATAAACAAGCTGCATTCACAAAAAGAAATGCTGAGAATGCCTCTTAATTTAGAATCTTCACTGCTATAGCTGATTGGCCTGTCAGAAATCCTAAAAGTTACAAGAGCTTTTGTAATTCAAGGATCTTATATTTTCTGAGATTCAAGCCTCAGAGATTGTAAAGTAATAGTGATACCTTTTATCTGCTGTAATGGAAACTCGTTTCCTCTAATATTGTATGAGATGTGAACCTTGGAGGTAGTAAAGTGATCATGAAACCTTTTATCTGCTGTTATGGTAGCTTGTTTCCTCTAATAATATTCAACAGTTACTATGCCATCATTAACCCTGAATATGTTGTGTGAGATCTGAAGTTCAGAGGTTGTAAGGTGATGATTACACCTTTTATCTTCTGTTATGGTAGCTTGTTTTCTATAGTAATATTCATATAATCCAACAGTGAGTATGCCATCATTGACTCTGAATCTATCTTGCAACTTTTACTCTATAAGATCATATGAGAGTCAAAATGGTGCTTGGCTGATCTTTGGCAATGGTATGTGTTGGTTTTGTAGGTTAGTTTCTGACCTGGTACTACTTATTTGTCGAGATCATATTGTAATTGAGTCCTTATGCACCCTATCATTGAAATTTGAGCATAATGTAGAATGGAAGTCATAATTGGTTCTTGTGAAGAAAAGGAAATCACAACATTTTAAAAGGCTCCAATGGCAATCCTTAAAAACATAATAAAGCACAAATTTAATGCAATCAGCTGAATCATTTTCAGATTTATTCTCAATTTGGTGAGTGCTTGAAGGTTTGGTGTTTGTTACCAGTTCAACTCTAAGTTGAAGTGAACTTGAATCTGAAAACTGCTCCTTGTATAACATCTTTTGTATTATTGCTGCTAGAAGTTGCTTTTTTTTTCTCTCATTTCCTCTCATCTGTGTGAGGAGAAAATGAAGAATAGCATGTTTTTTTATTTACTAGTGACTTCTTATAAGGCTTGGAATTTAATAGCATGTATTTAACAGATTGATCATAGGCGGGCATATAACTGTGAAATCATGCTCACAAAGGTGAAGGTACCCTTGCGTGATTTACTAGTAAGTTATATTATTCTCTCTATATTTATTTTCTGTTTTTTATACTAACGTGGTTTGTTTGAAAAGCTGTTTCTATAATCTAGCAGGGTGTTAGATAAACATATGCTTTACAATGGTTGATGTTACAAGTAGTTGAAGTAGTAATCTTTCCTCCTACAATAGAGTCTGCAATCCTCATGCTTATGTCACAATAATTCATTCACTTCTGTTGTAATTTAGGAAATCTTTCTTTATGCTCAGAGTAGCATACAGACTTTCAAAACCTGTTTTCCTGACAATACTGTTTTTCATGTAATGGTCTCCAATCATAGCCAATGTCGATGTTCAGTACTGCAACCAACTTGGATCAAGCTGAACATCTACATGTTTCCACTGAAATTGAATCTTCAGAGTTGGGCTTGAATTCAAGCTTGAGTTATAATTAATCTCTAATTTTGGGCTTAAGCAATTTAATCATACTTTAAACTTGAATAATATATATCTGTAAACCCCTTATAATTTAGAAAGTCAATAGTAACTCCAATTGTATATAAATGTGTACATTGATACGTTGGCCTTCGATCCAAGCCTTGCATTCAAACTATAGCTTCAAAATGTTTCAAACCTAATGTCATGTGTTTGAACTCTATTTGTATTTGAGCATGAACAGATTGCTTTGACTTCATAGTTTGCAGCTCTGTTCACATTTACATTAGCATGCATTTGACATGTCTTTTCTACTGAAGTACCTCTTTCTCTAATTCTCTCTTCCTTTCTTTATTTCCTTCTCTGAAGGCCAATATATGCCTCTTCAAACAGTTAGAAGCACAGGCTGAGTTTCAATCAAATTAGATTGTTACTATTATTTATTTATTTTTAGAATTTTTAAAACCTCCTACATGCTAACTCTTCTACTAAATCATTGTTCTGAAATGTCAGCTTTCTTTTCCAAATACCTTTCAGAACTCTACTGATGCTTCTGAGTTCTGATACATTTCTTCTATTTGGTAGAGTTCTGTGCTTGCCTTGGAAGATTCAGCAATAGATGCTGATCAAGTTGAGAGCATGATTAAGTTTTGCCCAACAAAGGAGGAGATGGAAATGCTTAAGGTAAAAAATGTTTTAGATTTATTAGCTATTTGTACACAAATCATGGTGAAAACTGTAAATTCAATTATCATTGTTTATTGTTGTTGTTGTTGCTGTTATTATTATTTTTTATTTCTTTTTAGGGTTATAAAGGACCAAAGGATAATCTGGGAAGATGTGAACAGGTTTGTGCAATCTGAGATAAGCTTGGGTATTTTGTATTGCAGTTTTTCTGTTGTAAGTTGGTTTTGTGATTTCTATTGACATAGAATGAGGTTTATGCATTTATTTTACAGTTTTTCTTGGAATTAATGCAAGTTCCTCGAACTCAGTCAAAACTCAGAGTTTTTTCATTTAAGCTTCAGTTTCAGTCCCAGGTAAGAAAATTTATCCTCTGCTTATACAATTGAAAGTAACTATTTCTAAAATACTTCATGCTATCTTAGGTTTCTGATGTCAGGAAAAGTCTAAACACTGTGAATTCAGCAGCAGATCAGGCAAACTTCCTTTTCCCAGACCTTTCTCTACTACTTTTCTTATATGTAAATTGAGGATATATATCATTGCATTGATGTGTTTCTTGATTATGTTTTCATCAGATTAGGGGTTCAGCCAAGTTGAAAAGAATTATGCAGACAATTCTTTCCCTAGGAAATGCTTTGAACCAGGGAACTGCAAGGGGTGAGTAAATATTCTTATGCTCTCATCCATAACTCCATAAGGGGTTCTCATTGTATTTGTATGCATTTGACTTGACTTCCCTATTATTCTTTACGGCCCTGTCTATCTCTGGGTTTGCATTATCTTCATGTGAGGTTTGGTACTACTACAAAACCATTTGTAAACTAAATCAGTATCTTTTCCTTCTGTCTTCTAATTGGAATCTTCAGGGTAAAGGACCATAAATTGTTTTATCTTCTGAATCCAATATTGTAGCTGAGGATTAATTGGATTATATGTCGGTTCCTTTTTGGATGAGTCCACCATCACATATATGATGTGAAGTAACACCAGACAAGTTAGTGAATTACATCATCTTAGTCTTAGATGTTAACTTGTTGGTACCAATAAGGCAATAACTCTCTCTGACGATGTTAATTATTTTGCAATGGGAAGGATTCAAACAATGTAAATCATGCATACCTTTTTTATGTAAGCCAATTTTTCTGTTGCTGTTGTTTCCTTGTGCTTTCCCTACATTCTTGCTTGAGAATGATCACCTATCATTTTTTAAAGTATTTATTCCGTCAGTGATTGGCATTTTATTGTTTGGTTTTGGTATAGGATCTGCTGTTGGATTTAGGTTGGATAGCCTACTCAAACTTACAGAAACCCGTGCACGAAACAACAAGATGACTCTCATGCATTATCTTTGTAAGGTATGTATTAGTTCTGTAGATTGCCTTGGGTTGTAACCTAAAAAGAAAGTTAACCTACCATGCTGCAAATATAATGCCGTGTTTTTAATATCAATTGTCCATTAAAAACATTTCAATTTGATCTCTTTCTGTGGTCTTCTCTTCTTTTGTGTTTGTATTAGGGAATTGTAACTTGTAAATGTCTTTGATGCATCTTAATATTGAAAGGCTCTTAGTTTTGTTAAAGTGAACCAGGGTACAATCAGTTGGATCATTTTTTCTTCTCTTGTATCTTGAAACTATACATGCACTTAATATGTACAGTGTTTTGTAGCATAAAAAATTTCCCCTTTTTATTTTCTTCCGAACTCCATTATCTTAGGTTTATATCTGTAACTTACTATGTTAAAAGGTTCTTATTCTAATACTGGCTCCTTGTCTTGTAAAGTGTTTTTAGAAAATACTCTCTATTACATTTGCTTATGATGGATCACTACTGTGGGATGATTAGCAGGTCCTATCGGCTAAGATGCCAGAACTTCTTGACTTTTCAAAAGATCTTTCAAGCTTGGAACCTTCATCAAAGGTATCATATTTGAAATAATTGATTACATGTCAATAAATAGAAATATCTTCTGAATACTTAGAATCTTGCTTTTAACTTGTTCAGATACAAATAAAGTTCTTGGCAGAGGAAATGCAAGCTATCAGCAAAGGACTTGAGAAAGTAATACAGGAGTTGTCCATGTCAGAAAGTGATGGACAGGTTTCGGAAAATTTTTGTAAGGTAATGATAAATTGACAAAACAGACCCACATGAAAAAAAAAAAGAAAAAAAGAAAAAAAAAAAAAAAAAAAGAAAAAAAGAAGAAGAAGTTATATTAACAGAAATGAGCATATAAATCACACAAGTAGCATGGACAAATTCCAGACCTGGGGGGTTGTGGATATGGGTCAATGATTTACCAGATGCTGGACATGTGCTGTTTGCAGCAGTAGTGGATATTTGTGAAAAAATGATGCCAGCACTCTCCAGAAATATGGTCATTTTACATTAGATAAACTCATGAGATGATGGTAGTAGCATCAGAACAGCAAAACAAATATGACCTCCCTGACGGGAATTGGAATGACTAGCATAGTCCTTTCTCAGGCGGACAAGTTTGAGCACAACTGAATGGCTCATTTTTGGTTCTCGATAGTCTATTGACATATTGGTGATTAGATGTTTATGAATTGCGATGTACATTAGGTTTGTCTAACTGGTAGCATCTATTTCTTTCAGGCTTTGAAGGAATTCCTTTGCTATGCAGAGGGTGAAGTAAGGTCCTTGGCGTTGCTTTATTCTGGTGTGGTATGGCTCTAGGTTTTCTACAATGGGCATTTATAGACCTCATAACTTGTCTGCCACATAAACTGTGTTTATTTACCTTATAGGGTAGGAATGTGGATGCATTAATTCTTTACTTTGGAGAAGATCCTGCACGTTGTCCATTTGAGCAAGGTATTTATTCAATTCAAACAAGTTGCCTATCTAATGTAATTGGTTCTCTGGTTTTTACCCCCTTGGATCCATGAACAATAAGTTGTGTATTTTAGGACTTAAGTTTACTTGAATCCTTCATGTGTTTAGTCATTTTAATCCATCTATATAATGCCTCATCTGTAGTATAGTCTCAATTATCAAATGCATCTCGTCTAACCATTCAAATTGTATGTATGAAATATGTAGACAGCATGCATAAATGTTCTAAGAATGCTTCTTCTCTCACATGTATTATTCTGAACTTGTATTGTAGTTATCACTACTCTACTCAACTTTGTAAAAATGTTCAATCAAGCACACGAAGAAAATTGCAAGCACCTGGAATTTGAGAAGAAGAAAGCAGAGAAAGAAGCAGCAGCAGAGAAGCTGAAGACAAGTGATTCCATAAAAGAAACCCCAAACGTGATGCAATCTGCCAGCAGGAGTGTCAAATAATCAAAATCTTAGATCTCCTACCGATGCCTGTATTCCCAAAAATGGAATAATGATATTACATAAGTTAGAGAAGCTTCCCCAGATCAAGATGCATTAGAAATTTAAAATTGTACGTTCTTGATCAAGCTGAGTGTAATTTTTCTGTTAGAAAGCTGGGGAGATAGGAGCCTGTATGGTAGAATCTTGGCGGAGTTGCTTGCTGTTCAAGGTTATTATAGGTAAAGCTCTAAACTTCCCTGATTAAACCCCCTCCCCTTTAAAAATAAATCAATGTTTGAAACATGATTGTTCTTTACTTTTTTTTTTATGTGTCAGGAAGGAAAACGGAGTTGCAGTTCTGTAAAGTAGGGTAAGTGTGTGTATATATATATTTTGCTAGCACTTTAGAATAACACAGAAGCGTGAGATACTTGAAAAAATGAATGTCAAACTCATCCATTCCCTCTTATTGTTATAATATACTTTTGGGTTTTGATCTCCTTCTCTATTCTTGTTAATATATATATATATATATATATATATATATATATATATATTTACCTTAGATATTTTATAAAAAAAAAAAAAAAAAAAAAACAGTTATTGAATTGCCTTTTACAAACAATCCTTGACTTGTCAATTTCTGAATATGAGTTACATTGTTCTTCAATAATGTTGGTTTTGAGGAAAGATTAGTTCATTATTATCAAAGAATGTGGATAATATGTACTTAGCTTGTTTAGTATATGAGTGCTCTAGTTGTTGTACTTAATGTTTAGTAAACATAAATGGTGTGTGTTGAACCACTACTTACCCCCTTTGTTTATGCCGTACCTATTCTACATACATATATTTTTGGCAGGATATGGTGTTCTTTGTGGAGAGTACTGAGTTACTGACAAGTGACTAACTGAGCTTGAGAGGTTGAACAAACATATTCACATGTTGGTATAAATAACCCTGCTTCTTTCTCGTTTTTTTGATATAATTGACTCAATCTTGCAGTAGTATTTATTCATAGCTACTTTCTCAACCTACTAAAGCACAAAGAGGACTCAAACTCATGACATCTCGTCTGGGAGAGTCACTTTGTACCATTAGACCATAAGGTCATTGGCATTATCAGAACAAGTTTAAAACATAATATATTGTTCAATTTGGTATCAGAAAATGTGAAAGAAATGTTATAGACTAGTAGTCATATTAAATTTTATATATAATATGTTTGTACATACCCAGTTTTATAAGTTCGTTGGTTTTAGAGACTTGTGGGTGTAGTTAGTATGAGTTTCTGAACATGGAAAATAATAATAATAATTGTATAGTGTAAACTGTAAAGCAAGATTTTTTTTATTTTTTATTATTATTTTTTTTTAAAAGCAAGATCCAAGACATGCAGACCCAAATCACGTTGGAAAAGCGAATATATCTATCTTTAATTTGATATGTCCCTCCCCGGCAGGCTTCACGTGCCGTCAACGGAATGCCTGCGGTGGCACCGTAAAAAAGATGTTCTTTACTCTTTTCTCAAGTCAAGCAATTAATAATTAAACCAACTCTAAATTCTATTATTGTATTGGGTTGGATGCAGAATTACACACATACCTATCTATCCATTAATATATTTTAACTTAATTAATTGTTGGGATTACCTATGCAATGTGTATTTCATCCACCATCTTTTCTATGAATCCGTTCCTGCTTATTAAGTATGCCTTGTCGTCTGTCCACATTAATTATATAGCTAGCCTATATGTACATATTCACCAATATAATAATGCATATATCTTCTTGTACACAAATAATTCATGCATATATATATATATATATATATATATTGGATGTCAAGAGAAATATATAATTATTTTCTAAAAGTGTGCACAGATAAATTATGTTTTTGTATAATTGTTTCTAAATTACATAAGAAAGATAAATTATTTTATATATTGGAGATGGATGGAGGAAGGTGAGGAAAATTGAAAAATGGAAAAAAGACAAAAAAGTGAAAACGAAAGGAGACTTTGAGGGGAGAGTTGTGTCGGTGAGTCGTTGGCAGACAGCTTTAGTTTGTCGCAATCCAAAACGGCGCTGCCTTAGCTTCAATTCCTGCCGTTTTATTTGGTCTAGCAGCTAACGTACTCCTCATTTTGCTATATGATCCCTATCTTTATTATCAATCATAATTTTATTATGCTATATAGTACATTCTATCTATTAAATGAAAATTTACATATAAATAACATATCCACATTATATTAACAATGCTGCATGGTTATTCGGCTGGGAAATAGACAGAAAATGTCATAATAGAACCCTATATTTGATTATTTGCTGTAGGCTGGAGAACAGAAAAGAAGAGCAAAACGAAAATATGTGTCGTGTACTGAACACTACTTTAAAAGTGATTTTCAGAGACTGCGGGAGGTATTTTGAGAGCACAGAGGAAGCGAGAGGTGTTCAGCCACAATAAATCGCATAACAGTCCACACACGCGTGCGAACTAAATTGATGAGCCAAGCAGCCGGCCGGGCGACGGCAGCGCGTGATATTTAAAAGGAGGGAAAAAGTCTCTAATAAAAGCAATATGAGACAAGAGGTAGGAGAAACTACACCTGTTTGAATATTATATCTAGGGGTGTGCAAACTTCGGATAATTTTCGGTTAATCGACCGAACCGACAAAGTTCGGTTAACCGTTTTCGAACCGAACTTTTTCGGTTCGGTTAATGGTTAAAAGAATTTTAAAACTCCGGTTAACGGTTAATTCGGTTCGAAAGGTCAGTTAACCGAATTAACCGAACGGTTAACCGAAGTTTTTAATATATATATATATATATATTTAAATACTAATTTGAAGTTATGGATGTTTGGAGTTTATAATTAATGTTTTTGTATATTTTGTTATGAATTTATTATTATATGTATTTTATTTTAATTGGATTTATTATTTTAGGTGTTATTTTTAGAATTTTAAATTTTAGCTTTAAAAAGTTTGGTTAATTGGTTAACCGACCGATTAACCGAAAAAAAATTCGATTCGATGAATTTGATAGAGCAAACTTCGGTTCAGTTAACGGTTAAAGGAAAAAAAACTTCGATTAATTCAGTTCGGTTAAAACGGTTCAGTTAACCGAACAGTTAACCGATTGAACACCCCTAATTATATCCAACCCGTTCTAACCACATTACTACACATTATAATATAACCACTATTATATTTTTTCATATTGTATAATGTAATTAATTTATTCTAAAATTTGTAATAATTATATAATAAACGACTCGTAGATTAACTTACGGAGTTACGGTGAATGATTAAAGGAAAACATGAAACGACAAAACAATTTTTTAAGACAATGTTTAAACATGTTTGACGTAAATCATAATCTAAAAATGGATAGTTAGGAACAAAACAATTTTTTTTTTTTTTTTTTTTTTTTTTTTTTTTGTAACGTTTTTCTTTTCAACTACCCTTCGATGAACTATCACCAATCTTTTCAACTGCCCTTCGATGAACTACTAACCGATATACATATATAGCATTATATATAAATATATTCAGCACCGTTCTGCCCATCAGACAATACAGTAAGCAAATAAAATGGACCACAGCACCTACCATACTGTGTAGTATTGAAGCAATCAATTCAGCATGGGGTTCATAATTTATCTCCGTGACAACATTCAATTTATCCATTTATTTTTAACGAATTTGTCGAGGCTTATTTAATTATTGACTACGTTTGTTCATTAAATATCTATTTAATTTAAAGGATATATATATACAAAACAAAGGACAATTCAAGAATGTACTACACTAATTAATTAATATTTATATAATAATATACAATTTAGGGCTCATAATTGTGCAACCCTAAAATATATTAATAAATGTTTTTTTTTCTAAGTGTAAAAGGTGAAATCTCTTGCCCCAAGATCTTCACACTTATAAAAATTATGAAAGAGTTATATTACGATAACTTTTGGGTCTGATCCCATCCATGTTTTCTTGACCGTATCTTGTCAACTATAATTGCATATCGAGACTAATTATATTCAATGTTGGGTAGGGTCTAGGAGTAGCATAACACTTATTCATGGGTTATAAGGTAACTCTATTCCTAGAGTGCCAACATGAGACCTTTTGGTAATTAATACGGAGTATAATATATTGAAAGAGATATGTATAATTCTGATGTAGTAAATACGGAGATTCCTACCGACTCGTAAGGTATGATGATCGGATCCGGTTCCGGTCCTGTTTCAATCTGGTTGTTGGTTTAAGTCTTTAGGCTAAGATTACGTGACAATATGTCAGAGGTTTCCGAGCTAAAGGTAAATGTATAGTTAGTGTCAAAAGTCCCCTATCCTTGCATTTAATGTGGTATTTATAGGAGTCGCGAGGGGGCATATGCCAATCTCTCGGCATGTGCGACAAGTGGAGCACATGCACAGGACAAGATCGGGGGCATGGCTAATCTCCCCACGTGTTTAGAGATTCATGACTTTACTGGGCCCACTGTCACTAAATTGGGTTGAGAGGACTATGCTCAAGTCTCCAAGTACTACAAGCCGGTAGCCGGATGCTCGTCCCAGTCTAATATGGTCGGAGCAACGCAACGGATACTGGGCTCCATTTGCTAGTGAAAAGGACACTCGCGGCCAAGAATTTAGATCGGGCAAAAGCGTGGCTTGATCGGTCATGTTCAGATCCGACTCTACATACCTAATAAGTGGATCCAATACCAACCAGGTATATGTTATGAGTACGGTTAAGGACAATCCGGCCCTATCAAATTCCATCCTCACTCTCATGATATAACAAATGACTTGTTAGTCATGCAAGGGGTAATCGAATGAGTGATTGAAACATGAAATACATACTTATAATACTAAATAAGAGTGAATGCATACATTGTAACTATGAATATATATTTTCTCGTTATTCAAAAAATAAATAATTAATTAAATGAATTGTTAATAGTAATCCAAAGATAGTGTTGGGCATGCATGCATGTGAGTATATGATTTTATTGATACCTTTGTCTCGGTCACTGGAGTAACGTAGCGTAGATCCTTTGACATCTAATATATTATTATTAATTAATATTATATTATAATTAATCTCTTATGACCTAATGATTACACCCACAGCCTCATTTGTTTAGCTATTTCACTTTTCTATCTATTTTTTATTTTTAAATACATACATGAGTTGATTTTGAGATTTTTTTAAAATAAAATTTTTATATAATTTATGCTTACATTATTGAAACCATAAGGATTTGAAGACTTTTGGTGTATATATGTTTATAAATTTGTTAAGTAATTAGAGATAGGTAAAGTTTTTCATAATCTAATCTTAATTTTATTGTAACATGTTAAAGTGAGATGAGTATATTAAACTCTGAGAAATCTAAACAGGTGTATATAGAAGATAAAAATCAGCACGCAACATGGACTTACTTGTAGGACTATCGATCTCTCTTCATCATAATCAAG